TCCTATGGGAAACCTCGCAAGACGAATGAATTATTTTTGTCTTGCGAGGCATCGGTCTTGCGAAGAAAAAAAATCGTCTTGCAAAGCACATCTATAGAAGAAGCCATCTTACGAGTCACCATAGCGATTGCAAAAAAACATTCATCTTGTGGGTTTTTTGTTCCGCGAGGCATGCGTCTTGCGAGGCACCACTGTACACATTCCTGGAAGGGTCAGTTTTTTTCTGTCTGTAACATTTCCTATCCTAACTATTGAATCCTCCAACAATTCCTTGGATTTTTTTTAAATTTTTCTTTTTAGCCAGTCTAGTTTTTGAGATTTTAATAGATTTAAACTGTTTAAAACTAGCTTCCAAGTAGCTCTTTTACACTTGCAAAAAAGGTTTTTGAACTATCTTTTAAAAAACTAAACATGTCTTTAAATTCAGTCAATAAATGGTTATTTGCTCAATACGAAAGGCTGCACTTTTTGGTATGTCAGGCAAAAGCAAAATAAAAATTAAAGGAGGCAAAAAATGTTTTAGCACCTTAAAGACTTAACTGCTATATTTTAATGAGAGCTTTCGTAGACGAGTCCACTTCCTTGGACGTACAGGTATGCCTGAGAATGTGGTGTAGTGTCAATAAGATAATTATATACTTCCTATGTCCTTAGTTGGAAGGGCCATTGTACCAGTTGGATGCTGCCTACATGTTTTAGAGCTGTGGTTTCCAACCTTGAGTCACCCAAGTGTTCTTGGACTACAACTCCCAGAAACACCAGCCGGCACAGCTAATGGTGAAGGCTTCTGGGAAATGTAGTCCAGGAACACCTGGGTTAACCAAGGTTGGGAGATACTGATCCAAAACATATAGAGAACCACTGTTTTAGACCACAGCTCTGAGCACCTCAGAGCATCTAGGGGTGAAGGATGCTTTCTCACAGGCTGGTGATGGCTGCCAAACAACCTGGAGATCTCCCATTTTTCCCCTAATTGCATTTTGAGGTTGCAGCCTCAGTCATTAATATTCCTGCTTTATAGATTGGGGGTTTTAAGGAAGGCCAGTCTCTTAGTAGTTACCCCCTTGTTACCCCCTCAGAGTAATTAGGGACATGGAACTGCTTTTGTGGAACTAGTTACTTCCTGCTGCTGATCTCCTTTTTCCCATCTGTTTTTCCCCAGGCAAAACTGCATCCTGGCTGACGAGATGGGCCTGGGCAAAACCATCCAGTCGATCGCCTTCCTGCAGGAGGTTTACAACGTGGGCATCCGAGGGCCCTTCCTGGTCATCGCCCCCCTCTCCACCATCACCAACTGGGAGCGTGAGTTCAACACCTGGACCGAGATGAACACCATCGTCTACCACGGCAGCCTGGCTTCCCGCCAGATGATCCAGCAATACGAGATGTACTGCAAGGATTCCCGGGTACGAGAGGGACTGGGCAAGAAAACAAGGATTGGACAAGGGACGAAGAGGGTTCCCCTCCCTTTTTTATTGTCCTTAGGCCTCTTGCCCCCCTCCAGAACAGCCTGAGTCCAGAAATCCAGTTAAATGAAACAGTAAAGGAAATTTTTTTTGAAACATTTGGGAAAAATCAGTTAGCCATCAGTCTAATGGCCAGAGAGTCTACCAGTCCCTTAATCCCTTTCAGCTCCCATAGACTTTAGCCACTCCCACCATTTCCTTTTCCTTTCTCACAGGCTGGTGATGGCTGCTGAAGCTATCCTTCTGTACTTGCCAGTACTTTTAGACACCTGCGTGGGCTTCGATTTCTCAATTAAGAGCTCCCCTCCCCCAGTTCTAGCCGGGGGAATTCCTGACGAATGGTGATATCTCTTAAGTCCAAGAAATATGGGAATCCCATGGCTAATTTTTTTTTGTCCCCTTCGATTACATTTGCTCCCCATCCACTTCTCTTAATACAACCCCTGGGAACATCTGTGGAAATAAATGTGGTCTCCAGTCTAAAAGCGGTGCTCTCATCTTGGCTGGGTAAGGTCTTGCAAGGAACGACGGCCATCGTCAAACCAAGCTGTTCCAAAAGTGGAATGCGCGTGTATGTGTGAAGGAGGGGCTGTGACCATATCACCTTCCTACATCATTCATTTTTTCTGTGAGGAAAGACGCAACCTGGCACTCTCAGGATATGTTAAGCATAGCGCCCATCGTCCCCAGCCGTCGTGACTCACATGCGTTGGGAGTCTGAAGATGTATTAGCAGACGTAGTCGTCCCCAGACGGATTTGGGAGTTGTAATTAAGAGGTGGAACGGTGGTCATTGGCAGTGTTATCCATTTCTTACGTTTCTCTCTTGTTTCATCCTTACCGTGAACCTGTAGGTGTAGGGTGAGGCTGAGAGTGTGTAGCTTGTCCCAGGTTCTTCCCATGTGTGGTCATGGCTGAGTGGGAATTTAGACCCAGATCTCTGAAGCCTTCATCTAACCCTCTGACCATGACACCCACACTGGCTCTCGTTGTACTGCAAGGCTTGAAATTCCCTTGAGGTTCTCCAGATGTTGCTTGATCATAGAATCATTGTCGGATTGGAAGGGGTCTTGGAGGTCCTCTAGTCCAACCCCCTGCCCAGGGCAGGAGACCTCATCCCATTCCGGACCTCCATCGACTCTTGTCACCGCAGCCAGTGGGTAGACCTGTCTGGAGGGCTGCTAAGTGGCCGATCCCTACTCTGCAGGGCGGAGGGTGATCCAGTAAGGCCACCGTATCCCTGGGGCATCTGTTCCCAGCCCTGCCGCGGATGCTGAAAAATGCAGATGATAGCGAATGCTGTAAAAGCGTGGTCTTTGGCTTCCTCTCGTGGCCAGTTTTGGTAACTTCATCTTTAGAAATACATATTTCTAGGATTTTTAAAAATATTTTCAGACTAAATCAGTGGATACTGATCCCGCGGATACAGGGGTCCAAATTATTATTTCCTCCCCTCAGGACTGCAGTGACCCCCTTGTCATTTAACCTGTCTTTCCATAGCTACTTCACCTCACCTGTTCCGTGACTTTTGTTCCAAAGGACTTGTCAACTTGACGAGGACATCGTCAGGTAGCCAGAATTCCAGAGTGACAGTTGTCTGAATCCTCCTGTACTACGGATGGATTTTTTTCCCCCTTCCTCAACAGGGCCGCCTGATTCCGGGGGCCTACAAGTTCGACGCCCTCATCACCACCTTTGAGATGATCCTGTCGGACTGCCCGGAACTGAGGGAGATCGAGTGGCGCTGTGTCATCATCGACGAAGCCCATCGCCTGAAGAACCGGAACTGCAAGCTGTTGGACAGCCTGAAGCACATGGATCTGGTAGGCCGCCGGGCTGGGGAAGACGAGATGCTGCCGGCGAGGGGGCAAAGGACGGGGCTAGAATCAAAGTGTCTGGTTCTTAAAAGTTTGGGAGAACAAGCGTGGAAGTCAATGGGAGAGGCAGTCTGCTTTGTGAAAGGGCTTTCCGTAACCTCTGGATATGTCCATCTGTGACATCATCTGTGCATTGACCCTCTTCATTTTTTCCTCCCCTTCTAGGAACACAAGGTGTTGCTGACTGGCACCCCCCTCCAGAACACGGTGGAAGAACTCTTCAGCCTCCTGCACTTCCTCGAGCCCTCCCAGTTCCCTTCCGAGTCGGAGTTCCTCAAGGACTTTGGCGATCTCAAGACGGAGGAGCAGGTAAGGACGGACCACCAACCTTCCTCTCTTGGCCCTTTGCTCCCCTTGGCGTGACTCTTGTCGCCTTTCCTCTGCCTGGGAGGCTCACTTGGTGCCGAAAGGGGCATTGTTTTGGCGCCGAGTCCAGCCGCCCTTGCGTATTAGAAGCCCGTACTGATTTTAACGCCGTGGTCCTTCCTTGTTTTGAAACCGCAAGGTTTCAACTGGGTGTTTCAGATTGTTCGATTTTAAACTCCTTTAAATATTGTTCCTTTTGAAATTGGCTTGTACGGTAAGCCACCCTGAGATCCTGTGATATAGAGTGGGTGAAGACCTGTTTTAAATTAATTTAAAACGTTTAGAATCAATGTTTAATTAATATTTTTCAAAGAGCTTAGAAAAGCTTCCAGAAGCTCACAGTAATCAGGTGGATGGACTGGATGATCCCTAGAGTCCCTTCCAGCTTTGCAGTTCGATGATGATGATGATGATTGGTTGAGACCATGCCAGCTGTGGGATTCTGGCGGAGGTGGTAGAAAAATTATAATAATAATTCATAATCATCATCATCAAAATCCAGTAAGTGGGCACACAGTTTCAAAGCCACATTTGGAGAGGTGTGTTGGTTGATTTCCCCGGCGTTTCACAGTGTCAGGTTCTACGCAGCTGCTTCTCCCTTCCCGCTGTTCCCATCTGTCTACAAACCATGAGAGTTTTACGCTGAGCCTCCATGGGCCCTTGCAGTATACCGCACCTTTTCGTCTCCACGCCATTCCTTAGGTTCAGAAACTGCAGGCCATCTTGAAGCCCATGATGCTTCGGCGGCTGAAGGAGGACGTCGAGAAGAACCTGGCCCCGAAGCAGGAGACCATCATCGAGGTGGAGCTGACCAACATCCAGAAGAAGTACTACCGGGCCATCCTGGAGAAGAACTTCAACTTCCTGTCCAAAGGGGCCGGGCACAGCAACATGCCCAACCTCCTCAACACCATGATGGAACTGCGCAAGTGTTGCAACCACCCCTACCTCATCAACGGTGCGTTTGGGTAACGAGCTCCTTTCGGGGCATGGAGGGAACAAAGAGGAACTCAGCGTGATGGGGAGAAAGAGTGCCGTGGCTGGCTTCCCTCTCCCCTCCAAACCTGGAGCTTTTCGGAGTAGCTAGGCTACAAAAACCATAATTCTTTAGCCCAGGAGATCCCAACCTTGGGTCCTCCAGATGTTCTTGGGCTTCAGTTCCCAGAAATCCTGGTCAGCACAGCCAGTGGTGAAGGCTTCTGGGAGTTTTCATCCAAGAACATCTGGTTGGGAATTGTGCTTTAGCCAGCGGTTGTGGTATGATGGGAACTATAGTCTGCCTTTTCTGGGAGAGGCGGGTCCACCAGGCTTAGGGAAGGCTGGGGCAGAGTTAGAAGGAATGAAGCCTACAAAATTGGCTACTTCTGCTCTCCTGTTAGATGGGGTCTTAGTTCTCCACGTTGCAGGACTGGGGAGCATAAAAATGCAGGGCTTGGTTTCCCGTTGGTGGGCCAGTAGAGCTGACTTCCTTCCAGGAGAAGGTGTGACTTGGGATAGATCGGTGCTACAGGAAAACAAGGGTGGGCGATCCCTTTATGGGGGAGAAGCATAGGAAAGCCCCCCCCCCAATGCTACAAACTCTAATGCCCAGCCTGATGAACAGTCCGTCCTGCAGGGGCTCAAAAGCTGGCCTGTCTGTGTGAGTTTTCAGAAGCCTGATAAAAGTGTTGCCCATCCCTGTCCTTCGATGCGGTGCCAAGCCCAGGCAACTTTCTTATTTCTTTCTACGCTGCACTTCATGGTTTTAACCCTCGGGAGGCCGTAGCTCCCTTTGAAGACATCCTCAGCTTTTCAACGTTCTTGTTGCCAATGTCCCTGCTTGCTTTTTCTGACAGATGCTTCTTTTTTTTCCCCATCCCCAAATCCAGGTGCGGAGGAGAAGATCCTGACCGAATTCCGGGACTCCTGCCACCACCACGTGCCCCACGACTTCCCCCTCCAGGCCATGGTGCGCTCCTCGGGAAAGCTGGTGCTGATCGACAAGCTGCTTCCCAAGCTGAAGGCCGGCGGGCACAAGGTTCTGATCTTCTCTCAAATGGTCCGTTGCCTGGACATCCTTGAGGACTACCTCATCCAGAAGAGGTGAGAGCCCGCGATGCCGAGGGAGAGGCGCTCAGAAATGGAAATGTCCCCAGAACCCTGAAAGGCAGGTCTTCGTCTGTTTGCTTCCAGATGGCAACGTTTGAGTGACCAAGACACATTTCCTGCCCAAAGTCTTACATGACAGACAATAGGACCTTTTTATCAGCAGAATCAGGATCTGCTGATTCACTTATCCGCAGTCTGAAAATATTAAAAATAGTGAAAGAAAAATCTTAGAATTTAAGAGGGAGCCAGAGACCATGCTATGTATTTTTGAAGTGACTTGGGCTGGCCACTAGAGGGAGCCAGAGACCATGCTATGTATAGCGTTTGCTGTCATCTGCGTTTTTCGGTATCCGTGGGGGCTTGGAACCAATCCCCCACAAATATGGGGGGGGGTCTTATTGTACTATCAAAAAGACGTTTTCTTTCTAGGGCTCGGAGGAGTATTGACTTGAGTTATGCTATAGCTTCTTGGAAGCAAGGCTTGCCACCCCATGCACTGCAGTCACCCAGTTTCTCAGATGCCTGATGTACAATATTAAAGCTTCAGGCTCAGCTGTAATCAGGGCAGGGTTACTGGGTTGCTTCGCCCTGCAATGCCAGAATACGGACGCCAAAATTTTGAAGGGAAGGACCGTCTTCCATTTCTTACCCTCTCAGGGCAAGTGTTTGGCCCAACCTTGTCCCACTAGGTTTCTGTATGCGAGGAACTGATGATGTAATACAATATTCGGAAATGGGATTATCCTCCCCCTCCCCCCAACTTGCAGTCTGAAAGTCAAAGGAACTACTCTACGTCCCCTGAAGAAAATTATTTCTGCCCCCCGCCTTCCGCAGGTATTTATACGAGCGCATTGACGGGCGAGTGCGGGGGAACCTGCGGCAAGCAGCCATCGACCGCTTCAGCAAGCCCGACTCGGACCGCTTTGTCTTCCTTCTCTGCACCCGGGCAGGAGGGCTCGGCATCAACCTGACAGCTGCCGACACCTGCATCATCTTTGACTCCGACTGGAACCCCCAGAATGACCTGCAGGTAGGGTGCACCCCCCCGCCCCGGAAATACCTGAAAGAGACCCTTGGCCTTTTTTTCTGCAAGGGATTTGGCTGGTGTCACAGAAAGGGGTCGGTGCCCAGTGGCTGAAAATATGGGTTCAGATTCCCCCACTAAGCTGTTTTGAGATTTTGGGGTCTGGTCTCCTTTCCCTCTTTTCTGCCCCACCTACTTCGAAGCATTCTTTTAAAAACGAACCACAAATCGTTCTCCTTGTACCTTTCAAAGCTACCTTTCTGCTGCCGGGGGGTAGGATGGACGTCATGTCATGAAGACCTCCCTATTTCCGTTCCCCCAGTTCCACTGTCTTCTTTGTTACTCTCCCGGTAGAACTGCTAGGGATCCCAGGGGTTCTGGCATCTGGCTGCAGAGCCAAAGGTTGGGAGTTCTATCCCCCCAAGGGGCCTCCTTGACCAGGGCTGGATTTGATGATGATATATGTGGTCTTGTCGTACTCCAGTTGTGAACAAACCACATAGTATTATTGTGGTTCCTGTAGCCTTCCACCAAGATTTGGGAATACTGTAGGGCAGAGGGCCCCAAGGCAAGGGGGTGCCCTGGCTTTTCTCCAGCCGGTCTGCGGGGCTAAAAAAGTTGGGGACTGCTGCCGTAGGGCCTTGTGGAATCAGTCTGTGGTAGAGGGATCAATCCTGTGCCATTTCCCCTTCAAGCTTTTCCCCCCTAGTTATTGTCTCTTGGTTGTCCAAGCGTGGGTTTTCCCTGTCTCTCAGCTCATGGATAGGCAGGTTCTTTGAAAGTAACCAATGTCTATTTCTCTATGGAGTGTTTCTTTAATGCAGTGTTTCCCAACCTGGTGGTCACCCGTTTTTTCCCTGGGGGGCCGTGGCCACCTTACATGGGTTTCAGCTCTTAACTTAAGGGTTAAGAAAGGAGAGTTGAAAAAGAATAATTTTTATGAAATATGGGGCAGATTTTTTGAATATGTGCTAACGAGGAAAAGGGAAAGCTCCAAATCAAGAATCAGTGCAGTTCTGGAGAAAAGGACAATAAAGGAAGAAGAAGAAGAAAGACAGAGGAAGAAGAGGATTATTGCAGGAGGCCCCGACTAGGGTGGTGGGGAACATAGTTGATTTGTATTTTGGTTTATGTATTTTATGGTTATGTTGTAGTTTAAGTGGGGGGGGGGAGGCTAAAAAAAAAAGAACTAGAGTAAAAAAATTATACTTGTCCTCCGTTTCTTTATTAATCCTGCTTGCGACCCAGAAAATGGACTTTGGATACAGCACCAAGGAGCAAAGTGTGGCTTTGTGTGTTGGGCTCCCAGCTCCCTCCTCCCGAAGCTCATGGAGGGGAGAAAATGCTTGAAAGGGGTCGGGAGTCCCGGCTTTCACATTTTTACTCTAATCCTCCTTCCTCTCTTTCTTTGGCTCTCTTGTCTTTCCCCCAGGCCCAAGCCCGCTGCCACCGCATCGGTCAGAGCAAAGCGGTGAAGGTGTACCGTCTCATCACCCGCAACTCTTACGAGCGCGAGATGTTCGACAAAGCCAGCCTCAAGCTGGGGCTGGACAAGGCCGTCCTGCAGTCCATGAGCGGGCGAGAGGGCAGCATCGCTGGGGTAAACGTTTGCCACCGTGGGGTGGGTGGGGAAGGGGGTGGAACGCACACAGACACACACACACATGCAGGAGGGGGAAAAGCAGGGTAAAAATATGGGGAGGAGGGAATAGGAAGGAAGGAAGGACAATATATAAGATGATGAACAGAGAGTGGGAAAGATAAGAACATCCAGACTACACTAAAATGGAAGCCATATATATGGCTCTGAGGTCATAACCTCACTTCCTTTCTAGCCCAGGGTCAATATTTTTCCCTTTTTCTGATCATCATATTTTCTTCTCAAAAAACGAATCCTTCTGGTCCTTTAGCCGAGCCTTTCTCTTACGATCCTCCTTCCATTCTGGCCCAAGATGGACTTGAGAGGATGGGATTCTCATCCCTCCATATTCTCATTATTATCTTCTTTTTTCCTCCCCCATCCTGCCCGATCTCCAGATCCAGCAGTTTTCCAAGAAAGAAATCGAGGACTTGCTGCGGAAGGGGGCCTACGCGGCCATCATGGAAGAGGACGACGAGGGCTCCAAGTTCTGTGAGGAAGACATCGACCAGATTCTGCTTCGGCGGACAACCACCATCACCATCGAGAGTGAGGGGAAAGGGTCGACCTTTGCCAAGGTACCCGTCGGCTCTTTGACTGGATCTGGCAGACTGGCTTTGGAACGCCAGAAAGCATGGTTCTTCTCTAATTGGGTTTTTCAGCATTTCTGCAAGATGAAGAGGGCAGGAGGCCTAGAAGAGGGGGAGTACTGGGGATGGGCCACAGGATCGTAAGCTGAGGAGGGCAGGGTGGCAGAAGAAGTGGATGGAGGAATGTCAGAGTAATTTCATGGAACTGTTCAAGCAGACCTGTGGACCGTGTTCCTTCCACTTTCATGAGGTCTAGAAACTTGATGGCTTGGTTTTGAAATGGAAACCCACACTGGGTTCTGTATTGCAAATGACATACTCTCAGGCTTCTCACCCCCCCTCCATTTATCTTTTTGTTTGTTTGTTTGTTCCTCTTTTCTAGGCGAGCTTTGTGGCTTCCGAGAACAGGACCGATATTGCCCTGGACGACCCCAACTTCTGGCAGAAGTGGGCCAAGAAGGCAGATTTGGACCTTGATATGCTCAACAGCAAGGTGGGCCGGGGTGGGGTCTGTAAAGAGAGAGTTGTGTCCTGCACTGTCCCATTTCAGTCCTGGATGACCCCAGAAACCCATCGCTGGGCCCATTCAGCTTCGTGTTGTCCCCTCTAACCAATTTCCAGGGTCTGAGGCAGGATTCGTTCTCTAGCCTAACCGGGAGATGTTCAGATTGGGGGCCCCTCCATACAAAGCACATACGATGCTCCCCGCAAGTTAGGATGATGACCCAAAGGGTCACCAATTGTACTAGGAAGTCCTTTCCACATGGCTTGTCCCCAGAAATGATAGATACACCTCACTTCCCATAAATGGAGGTGGTTTGATCCTGGCTGGAGTGTGTCAACCTTGATTTACGCAGATGGGGAGAGAGGAACTTAGAGAATAATTGAATTGGAAGGGTCGTATTGGGCCCTCACGTCCAACCCCTTGCTCAGTGCAGGAATCCAAATCAAAGCAGATCTGAACCATGGTTGTGCAATTTTTTCCAGCGCTGGAGCGTTCATGGCCTCCGGAGGTCATTGGCTCCATTGATGTACTACTCTTACAGTTAGGAAGTGTTTTTTTCCTGATATTCCAATTTTTTCCGGCGCTGGAGCGTTCATGGGCTCCGGAGGTCATCGGTTCCATTGACGTACTACTCTTACAGTTAGGAAGTTTTTATTTTCTGATATTCAGTCGAAACCTGGCTTCCTGTAGCTTGAGACCCATTATCATGTGTCGTAAACCCTGGGGTGATGGAGAACAGATCTTCAGCTGCGGTGTCCAGTACTGCACACAGTACTCTAGATCAGTGGTTCTTAACCTAAACCCTACGGTGTCCAGCTGCGGTGTCCAGTACTGGACACAGTACTCTAGATCAGTGGTCCTCAACGTTGGGCCTCCAGATGTTATTGAACTACAACTCCCAGAAGCCTTTGCCACCACCTCTGCTGGCCAGGATTTTTGGGAGTTGAAGTCCAAGAACATCTGGAGGCCCAAGGTTGGGGACCACTGCTCTAGATGACTCCTAACCAGTGCCAAACGGAGAGGGACTAGGACCTTGCAGGATGCTTCTGTTAATGCAGCCTACCATCACACCGGCTGGTTTCTTGCAGTCACACCACCGTTGATTCATATTCAACCTGCCTTTGAGGATACCCAGCAGAAGGGCTGGCATTCACATGTGGTGGAAGGAGCATGGAAGACCTGGCTTTTCCACCAGGTCTCCCTAATCATTAGGTTACTGAGATCTCAGACCAACATGAATCTGACCCAGGTCCGGGAGGCCATGGAAGACAGGAGGGCCTGGCGTGCTCTGGTCCATGGGGGTCACGAAGAGTCGGACACGACTAAACAACAACAACTGAGATCTTGGCCTCCCTTTTACCATCCTCTTCATCATCCTTCACTGCCATCTGTTTTGATTTATCATGCTGGTTATTCTATTTGTTTGAACGTATGTGCTGTATTGTTATTATTATTTTTATCATGTCTTGATATTGCGCTGTTTATTTTGTGGTTAGCTGCCCAGAGTGGCCTGGTTTGCCCGATGGTGCGCGGTATGACTCCAATAAATAAATAAATCATAAATAAGTCCCCCCCCATCTCTCATTTTCCCTCTTCTCTGCCTTCGACAGAACAACCTGGTGATCGACACGCCCCGGGTGCGCAAGCAGACTCGCCACTTCAGCACCCTGAAGGATGATGACCTGGTCGAGTTCTCCGACCTGGAGAGCGACGACGACGACCGGCCACGCTCCCGGCGCCACGACCGGCACCACCACCCGCTCCACCATTCCTACGGGCGCACGGACTGCTTCCAGGTGGAGAAACAACTGCTGGTCTATGGGTATGTGGCCAGGAGGGAGGCAACCTCGGGGGCGGCGGGAGGGAGGGCCTGGCGTGCTCTGGTCCATGGGGGTCACGAAGAGTCGGACACGACTAAACAACAACAACTGAGATCTTGGCCTCCCTTTTACCATCCTTTTCATCGTCCTTTTACCACCTTCACTGCCATCTGTTTTGATTTATCATGCTGGTTATTCTATTTGTTTGAACGTATGTGCTGTATTGTTATTATTATTTTTATCATGTCTTGATATTGCGCTGTTTATTTTGTGGTTAGCTGCCCAGAGTGGCCTGGTTTGCCCGATGGTGCCGGGTATGAATCCAATAAATAAATAAATCATAAATAAGCCCCCCCCCCCATCTCTCATTTTCCCTTTTCTCTGCCTTCGACAGAACAACCTGGTGATCGACACGCCCCGGGTGCGCAAGCAGACTCGCCACTTCAGCACCCTGAAGGATGATGACCTGGTCGAGTTCTCCGACCTGGAGAGCGACGACGACGACCGGCCACGCTCCCGGCGCCACGACCGGCACCACCACCCGCTCCACCATTCCTACGGGCGCACGGACTGCTTCCAGGTGGAGAAACAACTGCTGGTCTATGGGTATGTGGCCAGGAGGGAGGCAACCTCGGGGGCTCAAAGAGGAGAACCTTGATAGTGATGGGGCATCATGAGGACTCGCATCTTAAGGCACGGAACCACCAAGAAAACCCTGAAAAACGGTCACCTTAAGTCAGAACAACGGGCTGGATAGCTCCGTGAGTGAGTGAGCAATCTGGCTAAGGAGCCCGAGGTGGGGAGTTCGAATCCCCCGCCGGGCCTCCTGGAGAGGGGCTGGACCCGATGATCCAGAGGATCCCTCCCAGTTCTGCATTCCAAAGGTGGTTTCATAAGATCACGAGGTTCCTTTGGAAGCCGTTTGGATGTTCCTCAAGGACTCATCCTTGCTCCCTACAAAGCTACTCGACTTCCTGTGGGCGAGGAAGGGTGCCGTCTCGATCAAGCGATCTTTTACGCCCATTTGTTCTGCTTGATGATATCGGCTTGGATCTGCATGTGATGAGAAAGAAAGGCATATATATTTCTCCCTTCAACAACATAGGGGGTTACGGGTGCCGGGCCCCCATGGATTTAAAAATCCATGTATACCTCTTATACCTCCCTCCGCGCCCCATGTATAAGTAAACAGGAGCCTTGTGGCACAGTGGTTAAACTGCAGTACTGCAGTCAGAACTCTGCTCATGATCTGAGTTCAAGTCCAGGTAGCCGGCTCAAGTTCACTCAGCCTTCCATCCTTCTGATAAATTGAGTACCCAGCTTGCTGGGGGTGCAAGGCGTTGCCTGCATAATCAAATTGTAAACTGCACAGAGAGTGCTTTAAGCTTTGTGGGTTGGTATATAAGCTGCACACTTTGCTTTTGCTTTTACAAAGCATAAACAGTCGATTCACACACCCACACCTCTACCCCTTCCCACAACCTGTGTCAGCCTCTGGGCTTGATCCAGTACCCCCTTCAGCTGCCCCATGGAGCCGCCGTGAGGGGAAAGGGGAACAGTTGAGTTGCCCCCTGAGATGGACCATGATACTCAGATCCGTGCCATTCAAGTAGGATGCGTGTACAGTGGTGCCTCACACAACGATGTTAATTGGTTCCAAAAAAATCAACGTTGTGTGAAACATCGTTCTGTGAAACACCATTTCCCATAGGAATGCATTGAAAACCGATTAATCCGTTCCAATTGGAACGGATTGCCATCGCTGAGTGAAAATCCCCATAGGAAACATCGCTGAGTGAAACAATGTTTCCTCCATTGGAATGTATTGAAGCCGACTCAATACATTTCAATGGCTTTGCAAAGTCCTTTTTCGCTCCTGTAAAAGTGCCTTACAATGTTTGGAACAGGTTTTAAATGCTTGCAATCGTTAGCCCACCTCCTGAACCCTATGCAAACTTAATTTGATGTTGTTCTGAGTCGTCTTTAATTTTTGGTGATTTTTCGAATTTTCTCTCATTGGAATGCATTGGACGGAAAGTTCAATCATCGTTGTATGAAGCAATCGTTGTGCGAGGCACCAGTGTACTTCTAGTTGTTTTTTTAAATGGTCTTGGTGGGTACATCTTAGAAGAAGCATTTTCTCCGGTGAGAGATTCAGTAGAAACACAAGAAAGGCTGTGTGCCATTTCCCTCTTCTCCCCCCCCCCCATTTTTTTCCATATTGAAATACAAGACACCTTTATTTTAAAGAAAACGGTTTGCTTATTTCATCCAGGATGTATTTTTAGTATCTTTTTGGTTATTTTTAAATAATTTTAACTGCTCCGTTATTTGGCGGAGCAATTAAAGTTAGCCTCTTTGCTTATTCATTGGGGCCATGCTGGGTGTTGGAAGAGATTTTCCATTGCCCTGTCACAACCTTCCCCAGAGTTAAAGGGCCATGTGTTTGGGGGATGATGGGGGTTATAGTCCAGCCCATATGGAGGGAGGGACCCTATTGGAGAAGGAGGCAGTAACACAAGAAACAGTTGACTTGGGCGTTAAAGCTCAAGCAGATTTTTAAAACAAATTGCACACCAAGCGAAGTGAACCCTTGGTTGTACAGTAGGATTCTCTTACCCGCGGGATCAGTATTCACGGATATCCACAGTCTGATAATATTTAAATTATTTTTTAAAATCCTAGAAATATAGATTTTTTATGGTGAAGTTATAGATGGAGCCAGAGACTATGCTGTGTACAGCATTTCTTACTAAAACAGCGTTCTCTATAATCAGAATTTTTCAGAATCCATGGGAGGGGGCAGTGTGTGTGTGTGTCATACTGTGCATTCCTCCATCTTCAGTGAAATCTGCAGGCAAATGACCGTGCAAACAATGGTGTCCATGTTCAGTAAGGGAGCCCGTTGTGCATGTGGCCAGGATCAACCCCCTAACCCCTATCCGATCTTGTTCCTCTCTGCCCGCCAGCTGGGGTCGTTGGCGGGAGATCCTGGCGCACGGGCGTTTCAAGCGGCGGATGTCCGAGCGGGACGTGGAGACCATCTGCCGCGCCATCTTGGTGTATTGCCTCATGCATTACCGGGGCGACGAGAACATCAAAGGCTTCATCTGGGATCTCATCAGCCCCGTGGAGAACGGGAAGGCCAAAGAACTTCAAAACCACTCCGGTAAGGGGGAGCCAGGGTTATTTTCCCCTCCCCGCGTACTGTGGTGTTTGATGTCACCCTTTGTCTTGCGGTGGCAGAGACCTCGGCCAAACTTGGTCTGCCCTTTTGTGGCCGGACATTGGGGAGGCCGTCATCTTGTTTGTTGTGGGTTGGGGGGGGGCGGGCGCAAGAGTTTGAAATGGCAGAACCCTTGGGGAATGGGATATTGATGATGTTTAGGGGTGCCTTGGGGTCAAACTTGACATTAAAGGAAATGTGCATTCCCTGTCATCAGTCCATTTTTCCCCCTCCTCTAGCGGCATGTCATTAGAGATGCATGGCTTATCAATCAGGCTTGCAAATCAGAGTCTCTTATTTGTTGTTAACTGCCCAGAATAGACTGTCGTCTAGATGGGCAGGATATAAATTAAATAAATAAACAAATTTACTTTTTAATGACGGGTCACAAAACTAAGCAGGCTAAATGCCAGATGCTGAGAGGAGGTCAGTGACGTGCTGTGACAATCAGAGGTTTTTCATCGCTTGAAGGAGCACTTCTTCTGAATACCCCCTATGTCTAGTTTGACCTCGGGAGAGGCACTGCCTCTTTTTCTGTGGGCTCCCAAATGCAACGTTTGGGTGAGGGTGTTCCTTGTTTGGTTGTGTGTATTGTCTCTGTGTTGAGAGCTCAAGATGTGATGGAAAAAGCTGGGATAACTCTAATCCCTGTGCACTGGTTCCATATTATACCTAGAGAGCCATGCCCCTGCTCTGAGCTCACTTCCTGTTCCTCGGGCAGGCCTGTCCATCCCAGTCCCGAGGGGCCGCAAAGGGAAGAAGGTCAAGTCCCAGACCACCTTCGACCTCCAGAAAGCTGAATGGATCCGCAAGTACAACCCCGACACCCTCTTCCAGGATGAGGGCTATAAGAAGCATCTCAAGCACCAGTGTAACAAGTAAGACAGGAGGTAGAGGAGAGACCTCTTAGGCGCCTTAGTGAGGGCCACCTCTTCCCAAGTATCCCAACGCCATTCCAGGAAAAAAAAAACCCAGAAGCCCTATTGTACACCAAAAAGTATGACCCAAGTAGTTCACTGTCCAGTCGGACCCCCCTTATCCACGGTATCTGTATCCATTAATTCACTTAACCGTGGCCCGAAAATATTTAAAAGAATAATCTTAGAAATGTACCGTATTTTTCCGTGTATAAGACTATACTTTCGTCTAAAATCTTTAGGCTAAAAATTGAGGGTCGTCTTATACATGGAAATAAGCTGAGGAGAGAACAAAAACAAGTGGAAGGGAAAGCAGGAATCAAAGCGATCCTGCAGGACTTTAATCCCTTTCCCCCCTACACTTGCTAAGCCCCACTTAGATTTCTTAATAAGTAGGGGCGTCTTATACATGGGATGTCTTATACATGGAAAAATACGGTATATTTCTAAAGATTAAGTTACCAGAACAGGGAGCCAGAGACCCTCCTTATGTAGGCGGTCACTATTAAAATGGTGTTGGCTCTAATTTTTAACATCCACAGAGGGTGGGTTTGGAAACAATCCCCCACAGATATAGGGCTTTTACCGTACTTGCCTTCTGTCTGAGAAATTGCTGTTGGGTGACTCATTGTCGGATTACGACTCCTGTAATCCTCCAGGGGATTATGGGAATTGTAATCACAGGCAGCATCTACAGGGTTGGAGAAGGTTAGCGTAGATGGGTTGCCGCCTGTGTTGATCCTTCGTGAACCCTGTCTTCCTCTCGTCAGGAGTTCCAGCAATACAAACGATGGTGGCTGATGGTTTTTCTTGTCTTAGACTCCCTTGCATGTCCTTCTCCGTCCATAGGACCAGACTCCACCCCCCCCAAAAAAGAAAGGTTTTTCCCTCCCCTCTCTTAGTGTTTAGCAAGGGAGAGATCGAGATGAGGATTGCTTTTGGGGTGTCATTAATAAGAATGTGTGCCATCTTCCGACCCCCAGTGTCATCCTGCTGAAATCTGTTCTTCTCCTCTGTAGGGTGCTCTTGCGGGTTCGCATGCTTTACTACCTACGCCAAGAGGTGATTGGGGACCAAGCGGAGAAAGTGTTGGCAGGCGCCACTTCCAGGTAAGCGTATTCTCTCTATGGCTTTTGAAATCGCACGCCTGCATTTTAATCCCAACTTTTCTTCCAGGAAACACAGGATAACCTTGTGTATATTTTTCTATCTCCCTCAGTTATCTTAACAGTCTCATGCCGTGTGGTTGGTTGAGGGATGGTGGCTGGAGCAAGGTCTCTCAGTGGGTTTTGAAAAGTTCTCCTTTGGATGAAAGACAACTTTAGGAAAATCATAGAATAATTGAGTCTGGAGGGGCCTATAAGGCCATCAAGCCCAGTCCCCTGCTCAAGGCAGGAATACAAATCCAGAATATCGGACAGATGGTTATCTAACATTTTGTTGAATGCTGCTCCTGTTGGAGCGCTCACCATCTCCCAAGGTAATCGGTTTTCTCATACTGCAGAGTTAAGAAGTTTTTTTTCTGACGTTCAGCCTAAATCTGGTTTCCTTTAACTTGAGCCCATTATTAAGTGCTGAGGGGTAATTGAGAACAGGTCCCACCCCTCTTCTGTATACTATCTTTCAAGTATTGGTATCTACTTTTCAAGTATCGGTGGCATCCCATCTCCCCCGCCGTCTTCTTTTCTCAAGGCTAAAACATGTCGAGTTCCTTCCGTCTTTCCTCCTAGGGCTTGGTTTCCAGTCCCCGGTTCATCCTTGTTTCCCTCCTCTGAATTTGCTCCCATTTGTCTGAATCCTTCTTAAAATGCAGTGTCCATAACTTGACAGAGTACTCTAGATGAGGCCTAATCAAGGGTGAATGGAGTAGGAATAATGCTTCACCGGATTTGGAGACTATACTTCTATTAATGCATTCTAAAATAGCATTGGCCTTTTTTGCAGCCCCATCACACTGTCGGCTCATGTTCAGCTTGTGATCTCACTCGCACTACTACTGAGCCAAATATCCTCCATCTTGTAACTCTCTGCTGTACATTGGTTCAAAAGTTTTTGTTTTCTCTCAGAACGGGTTTCTGTATGTTCTCAGATGACGTGACAGAAAATGTTATCCCATCAATTCCTTCCTCAGTCTCTTTTAGATAAACGTCTAGAAATGAAGCAATCCTCACTGAGGTTTGTCCTATCTACCTTGTTTCCCCAAAAATGAGACCTAACCTGAAAATAAGCCCTAGTCTGATTTTTCAGGATGTTCGTAATATAAGCCCTACCCCCAAAATAAGCCTCAGTTAAGTGAAACCCCATCCTCCACCCTTGTGCACCAACCAGAGAATGACATGACTATATTTGAATAAATATAGATTGTTGTACATAAAAAAAACATTCCCTAAGAATAAGCCCTGATGCGTTTTGTGAGCAAAAATTAATATAAGACCCTGTCTTATTTTCAGGGAAACACGGTATAAGATCATTTACTGGTGTCACTTTTTTTGCTGAGAAGCATTCGTGCCCTGAGTTCCAGTAGGAAAGACTCTCAGAGCAACCTCGATGGTTTTAAAATAAGATGAGGCAGTCCTTTCCTCCTTTATTATTATTTCAGAAGACATGACATAAAAGGAAAAGCAGACAGGGAGGGAAAAGGAAAATGGGGAAAATCAAGCGCCAGTTCTTTAAAAGTGTGTTGTTTCTCATTCTGGTGTAAAAGCTGCTGGGCGAGAGTTGGGAAGGGTCATGGTTTATCGAAGAGGGCTCCTCTGGGAGTCCTAAGATTGTGTTTCTCAGCATGCTCATGCTTTTCTTGATTCTCCCCACCCACTCCCCCTTACCGCCCCTTCTCATTCCTGCAGTGAAATCGACATGTGGTTCCCACTTCTGGATCAAGCAGAAGTCCCCACGACGTGGTGGGATACGGAGGCTGACAAGTCTTTGCTCCTTGGAGTCTTCAAACACGGTAGGGGATGCGGTCCTCCATTTGTGGGATAAGGCTAACCTTTCTCCCTCCCCTTGCAGCCTAGTCTCCTCGGGAGTTTCTGGACTTCACAAATCCTAGCCAACGTGCCCAGGTTTGGCATGGTGCGAATTGTAGTCCGGGCCCCTTGTTTTTCTGGAAAAAAATATCTCCAGTAGCTCACAATCATTGGGGCCCGGGTAAAAGGGGTTGCAAGTAACACTGTCAAAGAACAGAACAGCAAATAAAAATCCCAAGTTGTGAGTTAAAAGCTAAAAAAATACTGAATAGGGTGTCTCGGGGGGCATGAGAAGGTCACTCAAGAATGGGAAAAGGGGCTTCCGTAGCAAAGGGAACTCCCAAATCGTGACACAGTCCCAGTGAGGACCATATGTATCAACGTTAATTTTTATGGAAAAGCCAAGGAGGATTAAGGACATCTCTTCCTAACTCCTTTTTTTGTGTGTGTGCTTCGTTTAGGTTACGAGAAATACAACACGATGCGAGCTGACCCAGCGCTGTGCTTCCTGGAGAAGGCCGGTCGCCCAGATGAGAAGGCCATCGCTGCTGAGCACCGCCTGGATGTGGGCGAGGGGTGAGTGGCCGGGCACACGGCGGGCTGAGCTTTCGCTAAGAAGAGTTTCTTAGAGAGGACTGGAAATTATACCCCGTGTGGTGGGGCTGAGCTTGGCAAACTGTCCGGTTTGGGTCTCAAACCTGGAGAAGCTGGTAGCTAGCTAGGTAGCGTGGCCCGTGGAGGATTCTGAGATTTTTTTAAGTATGCAAAACTGTCCCAAATGGGGGATACAGTGGTGCCTCGCTTGACGACATTAATTCGTTCCAGCGAAATCGCTGTAGAGCGAAAACGTCATCGAACAAAATAAAAAAAACCCATTGAAACGCATTGAAAACCATTCAGTGCGTTCCAGTGGGCTGAATACCTGCTCATCCAGCAAAGATCCTCCATACGGCAGCCATTTTCAGCGCCTGTAAAGCGAGGAATCCGTCCTAGAAAACAGCGGAGGGCCATTTTCTTCAGCCGGCGGCCATTTTGAAACCTGACGACCAGCAGTTTGCTGATCGTCATAAAGCAAAAATCGGTTCCTGAAGCAGGGAACCAATCATCGCACAGTGAAAAAAAAAACATTTAAAACATTGTTTTGCGATCGCAAAAGTGATCGCAAAAACGTCAACATAAAGCATATTCGTCGTAGAGCGGGGTAATTGTCCAGTGAGGCATGACTGTACGTTTGGATTCTGAAATTTGACGCAGCACACCCATGATGACACGCCATGCTAATACCGAGGCACCGAGCGGAGCCATCGGCTCCGAATTCGGGTGTCGTTGAGTTAAGCTGACTTCTCACGGGAAGGCCTGAGGTGTGCGTTTGAAAGGGGATGGGAAGGCTGGGAATTCCTCAGGCAGCAACTTAACTGGACTTCTCTTTCTTTCCGGGCAGCGTGGATTTTGACAAAGATTGCGAAGACCCAGAATACAAACCGGTGGGAGGCCCAGCAAAAGAGCCGGATGGCGAGGTGAGATCCTGAACCTCGCTGTATCCTTTACACAGGTCCTAGCCACTTGGCCCTTGTGATCATTAAAACCAGGCAGCAGTTATATAATACGTCTTTTCCTATAACATCCTGCAGCTTACTTTAAGGCTGTGAAAGCAGCTGACACGGACTAGGCAGTGTGCTAAGGTTTCAGATTTAAAAAGAGAGAGACCTCCCTGTCTGTTAAGGGGCCAAGTTTGTTTTCCGAGAATGCTTTTGGGGGGAGAGCGGCTGTTCCAGGGATGAGTGGGGCCAAGTGCAAGAGAACGGGGCCCCAAATCAGAGCATGTTTGAGCTTCAAGCTTTCACCGCAGGTGCCTAAAGCTCAGGCATTTCAGCTTCTTAGGTTGAGAGGGAAGTGGACAAAAGTTAGAGGACACCCCCCCACCACCACCACCACTGCTGCCAGTAGATCCTGGGGAAGGGGTTGAGGCCATCTGGAGGGGCCCAGAAGGCCAGATTCATCCACAAGGCCGAAAGTTCCCCATCCTGGTGTGAAAAAGACACAGCACCAAAGGAGAAGGGTTGAGGAGGGAGGAGGAAAACGAAGAAGCATTCTTAATCTCCAAGTTCCTCTGCTTGGTGGAGTGGCTGCTGAATGACCGTTGAGAAGGGCGCGCTGGGGGGGGTAGACGCTGCCCGTCCCTCCGTTGTGGCACTGATCTCTCTGTTGACAGGGTGACCCCCTGATGATGATGGACGAGGAAATATCCGTGGTGGATGGAGAGGAAGGTAAAAACTGGCTGGCTGGTAGAGGTTCTTGCGGGAGGTTGTGGTGGCTGCAGTTGTTTTGAGTGTGTAAGTCAACACGGCGATAGTGATGCTGGTAGAGAAAGCGAGCGTAGTGATGTCGCTGCCATCTTTCCCTCAGGCCAACCAGGGACCCTGTTCTGGCCCCCGGCCTCAGCGCTCACAGCCCGTTTGCGGAGGCTGATCACCGCCTTCCAGCGGAGCTACAAGCGCGAGCAGCTCAAGATGGAGGCTGCTGAGCGAGGGGACCGGCGTCGCCGGCGTTGCGAGGCGGCCTTCAAGCTGAAGGAGATGGTGCGGCGGGAAAAGCAGCAAAGGTAATGCTCCAGGGGCTGAGGTCGGGACCTGGGGGAAACCTTTTTCACTGGTCTCCTTTTTTTAAATAGTTTCAGACTGTGGATAAGTGGAATCAGTGGCTACTGATCTTGTCACTACAAGGGTCCCCCTGTACATTGAAAGCCCTGTTTGGAACACTATATATAAGTCGGTTTTGACTTGACGGCACATAACACACACACAGGCTGTCCTGTCTTATTCAACTCTCTTTCTTCCTTCACCCCTTCTTCCCTGGCCAGTCATTGATGGGTACAGACTGGTTCTGAGAACAACTCTGTAAATTTCCAGTTCCTCCTATGAACGGTGAAACTGGAGGTCCCTCCATGGAGACTAGCTTCTCCCTCCTCTTCCCTTCGAAGGTGGACGCGTCGAGAGCAGTCAGACTTTTACCGCGTGGTCTCCACGTTTGGGGTGGAGTACGACCCGGACACCCTGCGCTTCCACTGGAACCGCTTCCGGGCCCTGGCCCGCCTGGACAAGAAGACGGACGAGAGCCTCGCCAAGTATTTCCACGGTTTCGTGGCCATGTGTCGGCAAGTCTGCCGGCTACCGCCGGCCGCGAGCGATGGTGAGCGATAGGACGCGAAGGGAGATCTCCAGGGCTGGGGCACAGAGTGGCCGTCCACCTCTCAACTGGCTTTTTGGGCCTTTCTCCATAAATCCCGTTGTTGGTCCCGATCAAAAAGACTGATGGAATCAAGGAACTGGGTTAAGCTTCATTGTTTCAGCATGTCTTCCATAGCCTAGACAAGCGCTGAGTGTGTGGAATTACCTTATTTTTCCATGTATAGGATGCCCCCATGTGTAAGACCCCCCCACTTTTCTAACCCAAAATTAAGAAATCTAAGTGAGGCTTAGCAAGTTTAGGGGGAAAGGGATCAAAGTGATGCAGGATTGCTTTGATTCCTGCTTTCTCCCTTCGTGCCAAGCCCCGCGGAGCTTAGCAAAAGGACCGGGAAAGGGATCAAAGCAATCGTGCAACTGCACAATCATTTTGATCCCTTCCCCCCTTTTACAGCCACAGGATTGCTTTGATTCTTTCCCCGCTCCTTTTGTTAAGCCCCATGGGACTTAGCAAGCAGAGGGGAAAGCAGGGATCAAAGCGATCCTGCAGCACTTTGATCCCTGCTTTCCTTTTGCTAAGGATTAGCAAGTGGAGAGGAAAGCAGGGATCATAGCCCTGCAGGAACAATTTGATCCCTGATTTCCCCTCCACTTGTTTTTTCTCTTCTCAGCTTACTTCCGTGTATGAGACGATCCTCAATTTTTAGTCTAAAAATTTTAGACAAAAGTATGGTCTTATACACGGAAAAATACGGTATCTTCTGTTGTTGTGCCTTCGGGTTTGGTTTTTTTTTTTTTCAGAGCTGCTGGTTGAATGAGCAAAATCCCGATAAGAGTCCTTCCCCTCTGTTCTATTCAGCAGCAGCAGCTGCTGTAAGACTCTTTCTTATGGCTTGAAAACACATGTTATTATGAAAGGAGCCTCGTGGCTCATTGCAGCCAAAACTGTGGTCACGGTCAGTGTGTGATCTGGCCACCGGCTGGAGGTTCACTCAGCCTTCCATCCTTCTGAGGTCAGTAAAATAAATACCCAGCTCGTGGAGAAGCGGGGGCAATAATGTGTAGCCTGGATCATTCCATTGTAAACCACCAGGGAGTGCTTGAAGTGTTACGGGGTGGTGTAGAAGCAGCATGCTTTGCTT